AAAACATCCAAATTTAGCTTTCATTTATTACGTAAAATTCGGCTGATATCATCCGAAGTGACACATGAATCTGAAATATAAATTAGCTAAATATCAAATGGTTTCTTTCAGCAAAGATTACTCTTTTTTTCTCAACACTGAGTAAAAGGAAAGAGTGAATTACAGTGTCGGTGACACTTTAGTTCATGTCGTGGTTCTACGACCAATTAGCTGCGTCTGTGTGTGGACAAGGTATTCGTGTGCATTGAGTACATCATCATCTGAAAAATGGAAGTGATGATCTCCTTTCAAGGGCTGGGAAAATTAGATGAAACAAATTGAAAGTGCCCGTGCTCATGCCAGACATACAGTATTTTCTTGATAAGTCGAATCTCCCTTTTTAAATGTTAATAAAAATGTATACTTTTATAGTTTTATAATTCATATTCTGTATGAGTTATAGAATCTGGAGTGTTACTAGTAGCTAAAGGCCTCAAGGTTGTTAATTCTACCCCGTATTTCTACATTTAAGGAAACAGAGTGCAAGGAGGATTTTCTTTGCTTTGGGTCACAAAGTTAGTTGTAGGGAAAGCTTTCGGAGATCATGGAGCAGAGTGAATTAAAAGCTTTGGAAGAGAAAACATCCAGCTTTGAGTCCACAGGACATTACTTTCTAGCTTTGTGATATGGAAAAATTAACTTCTTTGTGTTTCAATTATTTTATCTTTAAAATGTAGGTAATAATATATACCTCATAGAGTTGTGAAAATTAAATGATACACATAAAAACAGATTAATTCATGTGTAGTAAATGCAGATGAGATTTTTAATCTCCATAGTCATTCAAGTATTTGATTATTCAATTTTTATGTACAAGTATCTGATACTTCTTTCACCTGCTAGCAGCTCAGATATCTGACTTTAAAATCTTACCTGAAAACTCTTAAGAATTTACTGCAAAGCAATAATGAAAACAATGGGTTATATAAATAACGAATTCCAGTTTAGTAAGTGGCTACTTCCAGAAAATCCCTAACAACATAGACATTCATAAATATGTGTTGGGCTAGTGGCTTACGAAGAAGGACATCTGGGGAGCTGTTTTCTCAGCATTAGAGAAAGTCTTATGTTCAATTTTCCAACTTTTCTTGTTAAATCTGACTCCGAACAACAGTGCAGTTCTGTGTTGTATGTTGAACAGTGTAATCTGTTACTAAGAATTTTCTTATTCTAACGTATCTGATTTGTATTGGGTTTAATGTTATTTTCAATAATGCAATGTTACAAGTAACCAAATCAACAGGCTCAAATGCCCCTAAATGAGTTTTGAATATAAACATTCTTCTTCCTTCTAGAATATCAACCTTAATCATTTTTTTCCCTTAAAGCCCTTCTTAATCTTATTTTTCCAACTCCCTAGTATATTCCTGCTGCAATAGGAAAACTGATCTTTTGGTCCCCAAATCACATGCCCTTTTCTGCTTATGACTGTCTTGGCCTGACTTTAGGCTCAGTACTTGGCACATGACAACAGGAAATGTTCACTGTTATTATTACATTGCCCATAAACTCAAGTCTTCTTCCAAGGCCTAATTCAGATTCCTCCTTCTCACTTCTTATCTGGCCTGCTTACAACTACTGTGACAGCTAATACTGTGTTGTGCTCCATTCACCTGCTTTATAACCCACTTCTGTTTCCTATCATAGCTTTCTTTCCTCTCCAGACAAGTTTTTAAGAAATTAGGTATTTTACTTTATTTACAACTTAAACATTTATGTTTGAAAGCATTCTGTGCATCTAAACATACATAGGTTCAGAGCCATTTAAATTGCTCCATTGCACCAAATGCTGGAGTGTGTTTTCATGAATGAGGTCTCCAGTCTGAACCTAATTAGGATGCCTAGGCTCTTCCAGTTTGGGGCCACTCGGTATTAGAGAAGAACCCTGGATTAGGAAACTAGTTCTAGGTGTCCCACTCTTCACTTCCTACCTCCACTAAGACCTAACTTCTACAGATTTCCCTTTCTATATGTAACAGTTCTATAGTCTTTTTGGTCCTTCCGGTTCTAAAATAATAATTCCATGGATAGATGTATTTGTCACATTGGTCAGTGAACACCCAAGGATCAGGATCCAAGTGCTTGCAACAGAATGCGTTCATGTCCTGTATTCTGCATTTCTGAGATTGAGTACAGTGTTCCCCTTCAGCTAGCCTGTGCCCTGGGGTTTTTCTGGGTAATGACAGTGTCATCTGCTGAGAGCAAAGCTAGAAAACCTAACGGTCTACCACCCTCCTTCCTCTTTTATGCCTAACAGCGGATCAGTCACCAGAGTCTCCTTGTAAATGTGCCTTGATTCTATTTCTCTCCTCCTAAGCTCCACTCTAGGGGTAGAAGAAAGGAGGAATTGTTGTCTCCCATTCATGCCTCAGAAGAAAAGAAAACCATGACTATTAGAGATAAGATAGAGCTGTCAAAAGTGGGGGGCCCAGGTGGCTCAGTCGATTGATCATCTGACTCTTGATCTCAGGGTCTTGAGTTCAAGCCCCACACTGGGCATGGAGCCCACTTAAAGAAAAAAAAAAAAGAACTGGCAAAAGTACTTGAGCTCTTCTCTGCACATGCACTCTGTGATTTGTACATTTATTTTCCAAATGAGACTTTGTCACAAATACAGAAAATAAAACCTGGTAACAGTATGACAATTTTGATTTCACTCCAGTCAGAACATCATCCCCACTCACTTCAGCTTCTGCTCTTCCACCCATGGGGATTTCTTTCTTCACTTTGTTTCTTATAAAGCTTTGAATTCCTTCGTGATCTAATACCTTTGCTCCCTCTTTGCTCAGTCTTCTATTCTAATTTTCTTTTGCTAATAGTTATTATTGGGAAACAACATCAAACAAAAGACACCCTTACTCCCCAGCAATCTGACTGTTCTTCCACATCAGCCTCTGTCCGTCCAGTAAATATTTCCATCCATCTGCTCCCTATTCTCTTGTCTGTCTCCCCACCACCCTTATCCTCAACAGGCTCAGAATTTTCCGGGAAGATGTTAGAATGTACTCACCACATGCCTGGTATTCTGGAGCAGTAGTTATTCAACTTTTTGGTCTCAGAAATGCATTATACTCAAAAAATATCAAGAACTTGTAAGAGATTTTATTTGTATGGGTTACATCTATGAATATCTACCGTATGAAAAACGAAAACTGAGAAAACTTATTAAAATACATACTTTATTTTAAACAAGTCCTTGTCATGTTAATATAAACGACATTTTATGAAAATAACCATATTTTCAAGAACCAAAAAAAGTGAGAAGGGCAGCACTGTTTTACATTTTTACAAGTATCTTTGTTGTTTGACTTAACAGAAAGCAGCTGGATTCTCATATCTGCTTTTGAATTCAATCCCTTGCTATATTGCACATCCTATAATTTCTAGAAAACTCCATCATAGACTCATGAAGTAATGAGAATGAACAAAGGCAAATAACATCTTACTGTTTTCATGAAAATAGTTTTGACCTTGTGGACACCCAGACAGCTGTGTACATTTTGAGAACTGTGCCCGAGGGTAGAGAGAAACCACCAGCTCTCTTGAGCAATAATGGTCCAGGACCACAAAGAAAATGACAGTCTCTCCCTCTCCAAACAAGCACTTGTGTTTAGTCACGTTGCAGACAGACTCTGCTTCTCTCTTGCAAAAACTCTTGGTTGACTCATGTTGCTTCCATTTCCAGAATGGCCTCCTTCCCTGCCCTCATCCCTCCCTGTTGAATAACTGTGCATCTTTAAAATTAAGCTCAGGTTTCTTTTTTATTTCTGAAGCTTTCTCCACCACTTCAATTTCTCTGACTGGAATTGACCAGACTTTCCGGACCTCATGTACTCCTAGCCTGTAGCCCTTTATTTTAGGAAGGCATATTAGCATGAGCCTGGATATAGGAGTTTGTGGTTTAACTCCTGACCGCTATTTACTGGTTGCATGACTCTGAACAAGTCTTCAAGGTCTTGCTTCCAGGTGCCTTGATTCCTCACCTATAAAATAGATGCTTCATAGAAATTTTGTGAAGATTCAATGAGACAGTTTCTGTAAGGTACTAAGAACAGTTCCTACCAGGTGGTAAGAGCACAACAAATGTCATCTATCTCTATTTTTATTGTTGTCATAATAATTATTTTTAAGAAAGATTTTATTTATTTGAGAGAAAGTGAAAGAGAGACAGAGCACGAGTAGAGGAGAGGGGTAGGGGGAGAGGGTGAAGCAGACTCCACGCTGAGCAGGGAGCCTGAACTAGGACTTGATCCTAGGTCTCCAGGATCATGACCTGAGCTGAAAGCAGACAGTTAACCAACTGAGCCACCCAGGCGCCCATATTGTCATAATTATTACATTTCTGCCTCACTTAAATAAACTCTATTCTCCGGATTTGCCTGTGATGCCTGAAAGAGAACACTCAGTCAGATTTATTTGACAGATTAAAGAATAGATTTTGTAGATCTTGTCTTTTTTAATAGTGTATATTTTGAAATGAGTCAGCATAAAGGAGCACTAAGAATTCTGGACCAAGAGGGCATGGGGCTTACTTAACTCCAGATTACCAGCAAATAGATCTTACACAAATAATATCAGCATTTTAGAACTTCCATCTACAAAATGAGCAAAGACATTTTTGCTCACTTTACAGGATTTTTGAGAGAATCAAAAAAAAAAAAAAAAGTGCACCCAAAAGCAAGCCAAAAACTGCAAAGGGTCAGGCAAATACAGAGTTATGGTTGTTGTTATTTCTAAATAGAGTTACTTGGTATTTGAGTAACATCTGCTTTCTAATAGACATTAATTCTTAATTTTCTTATATGAAACATTTTCTTTTTTAAAAAAATTAGATATTATCAAAGTAGGAGTGAACTTACAATTCTTTATTACCAAATGTGGAACATATAACGTGAAAAGTGAAACTAAAAGGGAATATATTTTATGACTTTAGAAATGATCTCTGTGTTTCATCACTCCAGGTGCCCGTGGTGGCCATATTGGGCTCAGGTGGAGGGTTCCGAGCCATGGTCGGCTTCTCAGGTGTGATCAAGGCACTGTATGAAGCGGGAATTTTAGATTGTGCTACCTACATTGCTGGTCTTTCTGGCTCCACATGGTTAGTATACATCTTAAATCTTAGTTATATCATGCGAAATGTTTAGCATTTATCTACCTGAAACCTTAGAAAAGAAAGGATTTAGAAAATTGAAACTTAACTTCAAATTACTGAAATGTTCCAGCTTGATGCAATAATTTGTTTCTTAAAAATGTTTTTTAAGGCAAATTCATACCTAATGATGACTCATCATAAATTTACTCCCTTTAAGCCTATTTGTAACTTAAAATGTAGTTAAACATAAAATTAAAAAAATAGATCAATTGAAATTCTATATAAATATCACAGAGGTGAAATAACATGCTCCACCCATAATTAATCTTCTATAATTTGCTGATTTGTAATCTTTCAGCAATCGTGTCTAAGTCTACATGATTCACTAGGTATTCATTTTCTTCTCTAGGGCAAATAGAATGAAATGCAAGATACCTTAGTATATGGAAGAAGAAAAACAACTTTTGAATGTAGAAACGGAATGTTTCACTGATTCACATCTAATTATGAAATTAATCCTTTATATGCATTTAAGCTCAGCTAAATTTGGATAGGGATGTAAAACATCTGTACATAAAATATTTGTACACTGTAGATTTGCCTTTTCACAAACATTTATGAAACATGTTCAAAGAATCTACTATGTACTTTTTGGTTTGCCTAACCCATGGGAGCACATTGAAAATCAAATATTAGTTCTTCCTCAGGTGTCTCAACTATGAGTGTCACCTTATTACAAAATGTCTGACTTTGACTTACAAGTCTTTTTAATCATTCAGCCATAGTAAAGTTCATCTATCATAATACTATATTATGTATGTCTAGCATTTGAAGATTTCTGTACTTTCTCATCCTGTGAGATGGATCTGAGGTTTTTCATTTTTCAACTAAAGAAAATTTGACTCAGAAGCCAAGGGATTTGTCCAAGATCACTAGCAGAACCAGCATGTAAAGTCAGGCTTTTGATTCCCTAGTCTAGGATTCTTGGAACTAAACCATAACCTTCTCTTGGACAGCTATATGTTCTTACATAGAGATTCACGTATAAAGAATCTATAGTTTCTTAAATATTTTGAATCAGATTCTTTAACTAAGAAACAAAAACTTAGAACGATGGTTGCCACCTTCTTTGTGTGTACCCTCAAAACGATTTATCTCTTTTGAAAGAAGGGTGTAACCCATCATTGTTCTTTCCCTTGAAGTAAAGAGCAGGCACCTGCCTGTTTAATGAGTAATATGACAGAAAAACTTGGACCCTTAGATTAATTTGCCTCCTCAAGCATTTTGTTATTACTCTTCAAGTGGTTTTCTTTCTCTGAATTCACTATTTGTTAGATTCCTGTGGTCCATCACAGACTAATACATTGCAAGGAGCTTACTTACTTTCTTAAACTCATCTAATAAAGACAGCAGGTATGATTTGGGGTGCTGATTTGAGGGTATAATAGTGTGTGTTTAGGCTTAATTAGAGCTGCAGTCATTGCTTTAGTTATGGATTTAGGGCAACATCTTCTGTTCTCCTGTCAGGTTCTAAAAACAAGTCCTGCAAAATGTAATTAAGAGAATTTTAAATGTTACAGGCCAATCATTTAAATATCACAGGCCACACATTTATATGTACATAAACTTCTCCTCTATCCTTCATTGTCTAATTTCTCCAAGATTAGCCTTCTCTTATTCCATTTCCTTCAAGGCCACTCACTCCTAAAATCCTTACAATTGATTTTCACCGAGCAACCACCTAATTTCCAAATATAATGGTGTCTTTTGAAGTTCTTTTCCTCCTTGACTCTCTGGTGGAGTCCGGGAGGATGAGGTTGGGTGTTGGGACATTTCACACAGTAACTGTCCCTGTTTCAAATCCCTCCTCCTCTGCCTTTTGGTTTTTATTTCATCCTCTCTGACTGCTCTGTCCTCCATACTATCTTTACTATTTTCCCTGCTTTACTCCTTAATGTGAGCTTTCCTCCAGGACTTCCCTTTTGTTCTGTTATATCTACACACCGCACCCTTGGCAATTTCACCAACTTTTACCACTTCAGTTATTACCACCAATAATTTAGTTCATGGAACTCTAGAACATCCCAAAAGTTAATGGACCAAAAAAGGAAAGGCTGGACAATACAAAGTAGCCGTTGGAGAAGAGAATCAAGTAAAAGATGACCCAGACGTCAAGGGTGGAGAGTACTTCAAAAAGTAGTGGGTTTTTTAATAGAACGAAGCATCTGTGAACAGCTTAGCTTAGAGCTGGGTTTGGAAATCTTTAGTGTTTTTTTTTTTTTAAAGATTTTATTTATTTATTTGACAGAGAGAGAGACAGCGAGAGAGGGAACACAAGCAGGGGGAGTGGGAGAGGGAGA